CATATTTCCATTTTTGGAGGAGTTAAAGGATTTGCAAGACTAATAAAAGTTGTAGGGACTAGGTGTCCTGCACTATATATAATAAAAATAGAAATGATGTTATTATCACATGACTTTCACAGTAATTTGGTTTGGTTGGATCAGTAACATGGGGACCTCTATGTCAGTCCTAGTTCAAATCAAATTCAAATTGAATCAAATCAAAGTACAATTTGATTCGATTTGAATTCAATTTGAATGAAACGAATCAATAAATAAGTGATTCAATTTGATTTGAATTCGAATTGGTTCAAATTGATTCAAATTTCATTGATTCGTTCGGAGCCTTAATCCCAATATTGAACTTCAAGAATTTTTCAACAAATATAGACCAAAATATTGGACATATAACTCATATGTAGAACATGCATCATCCTTAATTAAAAAACCAGACTTATGGTCATTAAATTCAATATATGGCAGGTCACTTAAAAATTATCTTGAACAAGGTACAAAAGAAGAAAAGATTCAAGCAAGATCATTACTTAATGAATATGAAAACTATAAGGTTGTTTATTAATTTTATATATATTTTTGTATTTTGTTTTAATGATGTTTAAAGAGAGTCAGTCAGTTTAATTGTGTTCACTACTCCACCCCATCATTTTGATTGCTGTGGTTTAGTGATATCATGTACAACAACATCACATTGTTCTGCCCCACTATTTAAGTTGCTGCAGTTCAATAACAATATGATCACACTATTTCACCCTGCCATATGGCTGCTGTGATTTAGTATATAATAACAATAAATGATTATCACTCATTCACTGAAACCAAAAATTATTTTATTGTTGGTATATACAGTGTGTTGCGAAAAAAATTGCGCATAAATAAAAACATATATCTCAACAATCATGCATTGAAATTAGATAAAAATAGATTCATTTGAAAGCCCATTATTTATTTTATTAGATGCAGAAAAATTAATAAGAAATTCTATCTCCATTTTTTTGTAATATTAATTCACAATGACTTTTCATAGATTTAATTAAATTTTGTACAGTTTCTTGGGGGATTTTATCCCATTCTTCAATCATAAATTGTTTCAACTCGCTAGTATTTCCTGGCATTCTTCTTTCTACATTATTTTTTACGATCTGCCAAATATTTTCAATGGGATTCAGATCGGGACTGTTGGATGACCAGTCTAAAACATGAATATTATTTGGGATAAAAAGTTTTTTGCAACATGCGAAGTGTGCTTAGGATCATTATCTTGCTGCAAATGCCAGTTTCTACCATACAGCTGTTGAGCAGCAGGAAGAAGCTGGTTTTGCAAAATATTCACATAAAAAGGACCATCCATTATTTCTGTAAAGCAAAACAAGGGGGTTTTGCCATTCAATGAAATTCCACCCCAAGCCATTACCTTTTGTTGTGATTTTGGTAATCTTCTAACTGGTCTTTCTCCATTTTTATACCATCTTGAAATTTTATTGTGAAATAAATCGAAGGCAGTCTTGTCTGTAAAAATGGTATAATCCCAGTCATCATTCAAATGAGTTTGTGCCCATGTTTTTCGAGCATCAATATGACTAATGGTAAGCATTGGGGTGGAAAGTGGTATGGCACTATTATACCCTTTTTTGCCATGTGTCACCAGATATTAGTATGTGAAATAGATATATTGTGTGTATCTTGAATTCGAACTGCAAGTTGGCGTGTTTTAATTGCAGAATTATGGTGAACTAATTGCCTGATTGACTGCGAAACAGTTTGTGTAACCTTAGGACGGTGACCATTACTGCCAATATGGTTAATAATACCTTTTTCTTTGAGATTTTTGATATTGTACTGAATGGTACAAAGGGAGAACTTTGTTTTTTCATGTATTTCTTTGGCAGTACAAATTCCATTTAGCCAGTAATGTAGAATTGTTTGACGTTGCACCTCAAGTTCTTTATTGACCATGTTTGCAAGGTTTAAATGAAGTAAACAATGAAGTAGGAAGATTTTCTTTTTTGTAAAGATGATTTAAGAGAAATGAATAAACATTTACAAAAATGGTAATCATTAAACAAATGTATTTTTTTATTTATTATAAAAACCAATTTTATAATTCACATGCAATTTTTTTTGCAACACACTTTATGTTTTATTATAACATTATATTAATTGTTTAATCTTTTTTTTTTAAGTGAATAAAAATGACGAATCTTAGTATAGAAGACATTTAAATAATGGTTTAAATAGTGATGATGACAAGGATGAATATGAAGACAAAGAAACCAATAATAAAAAAATAAATAATTATTATAAAAGATCAAAACTTGATGTGAGTTAACAAAAAATATATAAATATATATTTAATTTGTTTTGAATTTATATACAAATATTTAATTTATATTATATATTTAGATTTTTAATGATGATTTCATCCAAATACTTAAGGGTGGAGTGATCGACCATATATTTTTATTTAATAAGAAATGATCAAAATAATGTTTGAGAGTAACATCATGTTTTATTTCACTTTGAAGGTTAATAAAATAAAAAAACTACAAATAAAATTTATAAATATATATTTCAAGGTTTTCTCTTCATTTCAGTACCAAAAAAACCAACATGTATTTTGTAGGTTACTGAGAAAATACCTTTAAAAAATAATAACTCTTGCGAATGAGTGGGTAAAAAACACAAATGATATATATTTTTATTAATGTTATGATTAAATATTCACAATACTCATAATTACTTATTTTTTTAATAGAATTACAACCAAGTAAAGCAAATGAAGAGTGTAATTATGGGAAATAGTGTATTTCGTTGTAGTATAGTAAATATATAGTTCACTCTCTATTATGGACCATTTGGTTTATGAAAAAATGTCCATTAGCAATATATGGGACATATAAATTGGGCTTAAATCTCAGTCCATTATAGAGCAAGATCTTCCATTATTATTATTATCATCATCATCATCATAGAAAGATCTGTTATAGAGAGTAGTTACTATTTTTTTTTATAATTTTTTGACACTTATTTCAAAATTTTGAGCAGTTATGTTAGTTCAAGTTTATATACTACAGGAGTTGAAGCTTTAATATGTCCTTTATACTAATACTAACAGTCATGAAGTACTTAAACACTTTGTTATCTGTTATAAATAACTTTATTAAATTGCAAAATAAAATTGTGTAACCTAAAATTTTTTAGTCATTTTTGATTTTTGCAGAATGTATGAAGATCATGATAATATTTACATAGTCATGTGGTAAAAATAATAAATTTTCTTAGATTTCACGAAAGGTCTGAGACAACGTAATCATCGTCATCAACTTTTCCCTTGTTATATCGACTAAGTATAAAAAAAAAACTTTATAAATAAATAAATGGTTTCTAACATCATTACAGTCAGTAATTTTTCTCTGGCACTTACTTATTTAATGCCGCAGACTTGGATGTTTTTTTGTTATTTTTTTAATGATCTTGCACCTGTTTTAAATAGATATTGTCTCTCGTACGGAAAATAAAAAAAGATATCTTCATATATTTTTTCGTCGATAATTTTTTTATATGGTTCTATTTTTTCATCGAAATCATTTATAGAGATTTCATGAAATCTGATGAGTGGAATAATATCTTCCAACAACATTTTCAATTTTTTAAAATCATTATCAGCCCACTCGGAAAATTTTTTTTCTGATGCTTCTTCATCTTGTCCTATTCCCCATTGAATGACATAACTCCAAATATTAATTTCCTCTAATGTCAAATCATCTCTTTTCAATATCGATACAAGCATCGACTTTTCGAGTATTGCAATATCATTAGACTTCAAAAAATATTCTGGTTCTTCTTTAATCAGTTTATTACAAAGGCCTTGAAGCAAACCGAGCAATTGGCGTTTTGATGAAATTTCATGAACACGGTTTAAATTTCGGTGAAGCCATTCATTTTTCCTTTTGATTAGATGGTTTTGCAAATAACCAAGTAATTCATGTATGAGTAATTCGTCGCATGCTACGAGAAGATCGATGATGACTTCCACCTCCGTTTCTAATCCGTCAATCATTGTATAGTCGGAGAAATAGCTATTGAAGTGTCGTCAATATGGCGTGAGTATTGATATTAATAAATATTGATTTATCAACAGATAATAATAAAACTAATTCTTACACTAAAAGAAGTGCAAATATATCTGGGGAAATGTTTTTTTTTTCGAATAAAATAGTTCCATCTTCAGATCTTTTTGCCCAATTTTCCGATAAAGCTACATTAAAATATAGAGATCTTGCTTTTAAAATTCTAGACTGAGCTTTGAAGGTTTCAATTTCTTCTTCATCTCCCACCATAATTTCTACGTCAGCCTCCTCGTCAATCAATGGTCTAATATGCCATCTTAATTTTAAAATGTGATTTCGAACACTAGTTTTATTATAACTGTTAAAAGCATTCTCTGCGTCATGTCTATTTTCGAACTCTACGAAGGCGATTCTAAGATCAACCAAATAAATGTTTATGAATATTACTATTATTAATTTTTTGACTTGGAAAGTTTTTTTTTGATAATTACCTTCCTCTATTATTATTATTATCATTATTATTGACAACATCCACACTTCTCAAATGCCCATATTTTTTAAACATATTATTCACATCATCTCGAAAAAATGAAGGTGGCATATTTCTAACACAAATAGTTGTAGTAGATGATGTAGATGATTCATAATATCTATCTTCGTCTGACAATAGACTTCTTTTCCTTTTACCCTTACCATTTCTTCTAGATGATAATTTACTATCGATAACAAAAAATAATTAAGATAAATAACAGATAATAAATAGTAATTAGAAGGTAGAATAGAAGAAGCTAACCTTCTGCCCATAATAACAATTTTTATCAAGGAAAAATTATATGCAAAAGAAACCTTAACCAATCCAATTAACAATTAGCTAACGAAGTTTGGGAATTAAATTAATCTTCACCCCAAGAAAATAAAAAAAGCAAAGTGAGATTTTATGAAATGAGCTAACATTTGCTAATATTAAATATTTAAATATTAATGGGATAAAATTTTATAAATGCACACTAATAAATCGAGAAGTTCCGGATGAGATAATTACACAATTTGGTGCATCAAAATATTGTTCTAGTGGCGTACATGCAGCAATCAATAAATTAATTTTTACGACTGGTGAATTACATACACTAATTTATTATGAACATTTCGAATTGATTATTATTTAATTTAAATCAATTCCAAAACGTTCGTTGCAGAGTATAGTTCGTGTTTGCATGCCTTTGGGTAAGCGTGCGATTATGGAATGTATTTTAAGCATCTTTCTCAAAAAAAGACCTTGAGTTCTTGAAGAATGTGATGCAATGAGAATTCATGATGACTTGAGCGACAGGATTGTGAACTTTTAAAATTGAATTTGGGTTCTTTTTTATGAAAGACCTAGACTATTGATACGGTGCCAATGATAACCTTTATAATTTTATGTACAAAAAGAATATATTTACTTGGACTTGGTACAGTTGACCTAATTGTTATTGTAATTAAAGGTTACGAATAAAATCATCTTAACTGTTAAAATCACCTAATAGCTTAGTTGCAGAATTTTTTTGTTGGAACTAGTGTAATAGCACAGGGTAGATTTCGACAGTGCAGAAAGCTCTATATATAATAATAGTAGGATTTTAAATATCATGTGATCCATTCATCAAAAGTTTATAAAAATACCACCACCAAACTTGGCTTTAAAAGAGAATTGTCACAATTTTTACTTTGCTGATTTTTCTTAATTTATAATTTTTTAAAGGTAATTATTTTTTTACTGAAAAAAATAATTTCACCCAAATTGTTTTTATATATATACTGTATTTCATATATATTTTTAAAAAAATGCTGTTACACGAAAACACATTCTTCCGGAAATTTCTAATAGAGGTCGCAAAAAAAAAAGTCCATGATATAAAATGGTAAATTTTAATAGTGTTAAAAAAAAAAAATGTTACTTGTATAAAAATCATGAAAATTGATTGGGACCTCAATATCACTTAGGAGTTTATGGGGTCCTTTTCAATCCCTTAAACAGTATTAGTATTGCACGAGTAAAAAAATATATATTCTGTACCTTCTGAACGCTTATTCTCCGGTGTGGGAAATCATACAACATCACGAAGAAATAAATTATCTCATGATGTTATTCTAAAGTGTTATTTTTGTAAAGAAATTCAAATAATATTTCCGTTTTTAATAATTAAAAAAATTTTTATTTTTTTTACGAATAAGTATTTTTCTATGGATTTATGAATTTCATGAATTCGGATTTCGTTCTCATTAATGGATTATATATGCATGTTGTAAATTGATTAAATTGATTGGCAATAAATTATTTTATATATGAAATAACCAGTGAATTCAATGAGGCCACAACTACTATTGTAGAGTTTACTTTTTATATTAAATTAATCTTGAAGTTAATAATAATCTTATTTTGTTTACACATGACACGAATTATCCACTCGTTCTTGTGATCTTTGATGAATTGTTCCAAGTCTTTTTCTTGTTGCTCATTGCAATTTCATGTAAAAATTGTTGGAACTAGACTAGTCACATCGTAGAAATTTCTATAATACCCCAAATTTAAGAATTAAAAATTTTAATTCGCTGTTTTATAACATGATCACTTCTTTTTTAATATTAATATTTTTATCTCGATTTCCCGGATTGTATTTTTGGAGAAATACATATCATGTATTTATCACTTATTATTATTACTACTATTACGATTAGATTTATCCTGGGACGTGGTCATCTATTACTATATAAAATATTACGAAAATTTGAAAACTTGCAATTTCTTTGTTGTGTTTTGTTGCAGTATGCCCCATATATTAATATACATTATTATACTGTATGTAAATCTAAAAACCAATGCACAGAAGGATGTCCGTTTTGCATTATGTATATATTGAAATATAGTTACTTTCAAAACACGTAATACATATTAAAATTATTGTGTCGATCAAGATAAGTTTATTTCGCGTTTTTTATAAAAAAAAAACAAGTTATTCAGACATGTCATTAAATAAAAATGCAAAAATACCAAAAAAGTTTGGCTCTAAGGCAGAAAACGTTTCTAAGAGAACAGTGCAGGTTTAAGAAAAATTCAGTTATATATACATATATTTAATAAGAAAAAATTTGTAAATTTTTTATAGATCTTTCAATAACATATTATTAATCTTTTAATTTGCATAGTCTCATCAAGAAAATAATAGAAAAAAACCAAAAATATTTGGTGAAAATTTTTTTTATTAGTTTGTTAATATAAATTTATAAAGCTATTTATTAAATAATCAATATGCACCCATATTTAGATCTTAAACCATTTGAAGAGGAAGATCATGGGTTTGTATTTGTCAGAAAACGAAAGCTTGACGAGTTTGTCAATAAACAATCCCAAACTCAACTTTCCGAGGTATATAGTATCAATTATATAATTAGATACAGAGACAATCCTATTCTTTTTTTTGCATCACAAATAAATAACAAAACTTTTAATGGTCATTTATTTACGTATATATATCTACTTATATATAAATTATCGTAGAAAAATCATAATGTGGAAACACAATCAAAAGTGTCAAAGTATAACTATGGACATTTTACCCAAGGTGAAAACTCAAATTCATCCAATCAATCACATGAAATTCAAACTTTTAAGGTAAAATAAAAAGATTATCAAATGTTAATTAATTCACAAATAATTTATTATCATTATTATTATCATTATTATAGTCAAAATCACACTTTGAAAGGCAGCAAATTATGGATTTAGAAGAAGAAAATGAAGAAAATTCTAGTGTGGAAGATAGTATCAACAGTTCACCTGTAAATATGGAGCACACAGTTACTTTTACACTACCATATGAATCTTTGGAGTTTGTTAGACCTAGAGATTCCCTAGAAAAAAATCGAAGAACAAGCGAAAAAAGAGGGAAGAGGAGAGCATCTTCTGTTAGAGATGGATTTTTAGGTTGGAATAATTATAATTAGGATTAATTTATTATTTATTAATTTATTTAATATATTGGCTAATATATATTTAATGAATAGTGGAACCTCATCCTGATATAAAGACTGAAGATTTCTATCGTCATATTCAACCTGAATTGCCTAATCCAGTAAGATTGAAACAGCTTTTAATGTGGTGCGCACAAAGAACTCTTGGAACTCAAAAACATGAAAATGAAAAGGTTTTAAACATAGGTATTGTTTTTTTAATATATCCGATTTGTAAATTATTAAAAGGTTGTTTGTTATACATTTCTAATTAGATTTTTATCTCTTTTTTTAAAAAAAAATAATAATAAATCAGTAAAGAAAGTTCAAAAAGATGTAATAAGAGATTTGTCTGAAAACATAATTAGTACATCTTGGTATCAAAATGCATGTATTAAAACCTTGCTTATTTTTTTTCAAATTTAATTTGTAATCTTTCAATTCTTTATTAATCTGTTTTTCATAATGTATGCAGAGTGAATGTGTTGGCAATGATGATGTTGTACCAAAAAAATTACATCCAGAAAATGAAAAAAATAAAACAAAATTAGAGGCGTTAAAAAAAACATTAGAAAGGTAATTTAGAAAAATTTTTATTTGTAATGATTTAAATTATCTATACGCCATTGCTGCTCAACTCAAATAAATTATTTTTTTTATAAAAATTAATCAATTAATTATTGTTGAAGGTTGAATAAGGAAGAAGCAGAATGGGATAGATTAGTTTCAGAATTGAATTCTCTTTATGATTCAGTTTCAAACTCCGATCAGAACCCTTCAGATTACAACAATGTAATGCTTGATGAAATAGACTTTACTATATTACCAGAACAGCAATTAAAATTTTTAAAAGATGATGATCCAAGTGAGAAAAAACAATTGGAGTTTTTGGAGGAAATGTCTAAATCATTGGAGATTAATGTATTTATTAATAAATTTTTAAAAATAAACAAAGATTTATTTATTTTGAGTGATTTGCAATTTATTTTTAATTTGTTTAATTGTTTAGGTGGATCGATTTTACCATATTTTATATAATTTATCACAATTTAATACAGCAGCTGGAATATATTGTAAAGATTTACTAAAAAAACTTGGAGAAATTTCTAATAAAAGTGTTGAAGAACATATAGATTTATTAAGGGCAATATCAATTATTAATAAATAAAGTTAGTAGATAATAATTTTTGTAATTTTCAAGTCTATCACACACTTCAGAAATGTGAGTGAAATAATTGGTGGCAATAAATTAAATTGTTATTTCGAAAGTACATGAATTTCAGAGTTCTTTATATATATTGAATAATTAGCAGTGATTTATCTGTAAAAAGTAGGAAAACCTATAATATCGATATTAATGTTATTGATGAATACTGATTTTATCCAGGAATCGCATACAAAAAAGAATGAAGCTATTACTATATAGCATGATAAAAACATGTTCGTGTCACAACAAATAATACAGTCAGTCAACCCACCCTGGGACCAGGCAAGACCGTGCATTTATAGAAAGTATTTTATTGGTTGCACGTGACACTAATAAAAAATATCTTTAAATTACATTGTTATTTAAGTTCTAAAATAGTTTTCCGAATATATATAGTTATTGAGTCTTAGCATTTTAAAGATTTGCTGTATTTGATGCCTTTTAGATGATCTGCATCATAATCATGAGTAACCCTATATCCCCAAATTCTAGCTAGACTTATGAATCTATCGAGACCACTCTTTTAGAGACAAATCTAAAAATCATGTGACTGTGGGACAAATTTGTCTCTCACTCTTGCCAATGGGTCATAATTTGTATCCCAAGG